ATCAGTCAACGGAAAGTGCAAATTATCACTAAAAAGCCAGTAATGGATTGCAGAGTTTCTGAACTCAAAACATCGACAAACTCAGACAACAGACTATCAGCCTTGTCTCTAGCAAAACACTTAATTGGTATGAACCACAAGACTGATATCAAAAAAAACTCTCAAGATTATTTACAAGAACCTTACGGAATGCAAACTGAAGTACACTGAGACAACAGTTATCTGTACAATCCAGCCATCTTCTCTTTCTTGTACAAAGACAACCTACCTCAGTAATCCCTAACTGATTATATTACCATGAGCAGTGTTAAGTATCATCCTTCCTATTATCAAGTTCTCCCTCTTTAATGGTTCTCTAACCGATGTCAGCTAATGGTGAAGTCTTGAAACCAATCAAATGCCTGCAAACCAACATTTGAATATCATTCTGATGCTAACTAGTGACTGGCTTTATTCAAGTAGCTAGTTACCTTGGTTCTAGTGAGAATTCGTGACCAGTGAGGTACAACAGATCGGGTGTGATGGCAAATACTTGTAGCCGATAACATTGGCTAGTAGTTGCGCTATATAGTGAATTGGCAGAAGTCGGAATTCATTAGCTGGCCATTAGATCGGTGGGTCCTAGTGGCTTTAAAGTCTACGAAGTTGCCTTGTAACCAGAAGGCCCTGCGTTCGAAGCCCAGGAGGTGCATATTACTGAAGAGTCTCGAGCTAGGACGAAACAGCTGTCTAGTAATCCTAGCTGGTTTTCCAGTGGTCCTCTAACAATGTCATTCATGATGAAATCCCTGAAAATCAACACTTGAACTCTACTGATTTGTTTATTTCAATGTGTCTATCATTTGTAAAATCCTCTTGCATAAATACATTACATGTTTCAGATAAATTCCGTCTTCTAATAACTCTGCCTAGGTCATAATTAATTCAATAAGAAACATGTGAAAAGATCTGCTTCTAGGTAAAGACATAGTAACATAACTTTTAGGATCAGAGTAAAGATTACTAACTACTGATACTTTTTCATTTTCTAAAGTGACCATTACATCTGAGGTGTATGCTGAAATCTCTGAGGGTGAAAACTCGTGAAAATCCTTACCCTGAGGAGAAGTAGGACTGACGTTTAATGCTTGTAAGCATTAATGAAAATGGGAAACTTTATTGGCCTAAGGACCAAACAGATCTAACTAAGAAAAATAAATTCGATTCTCGTTTGTGAGAAGTCATGACGAGTGGGGTCCACCCGGTCGGGAGTGAGGGCAAATACTCACCACAGATGAATTTGGTTGGTATCAGTCAGGCTAGAAAAAATGACAAATAGTTACAAGTTAGAATTTATGTGCTGGCAACTGAGTCAGATACCCAGGGCTGAATGGTCTATGAGGTTTCTTTGTAACCGGAAGGTCATGAATTCGAACTCTTATGGTGGGTGAGTACATACGATGAGTCCCAAACTAGGACAAAACAACTGTCGAGTACTTCCTCCTAACTAATAAGAATCCGTGATCAAACTTGAAAAAAATAATACAACTTACCAAACACTACGTAATGAATATGCCATGCATTCACTTGCGTGAAAGCACACAACAGGCTTTAAAGTGACCAAAGAATTAAAATGGATAAAATTTGGTAGAGACGGAGAGAGAGGTCAATCACCAAATGTTCGTTCATCAAGTTGACAAAAACTTGTGCAATCAAAATGGCACAATGCCCCTACTAGATATTTGGAGAATTACAATACAAAAAGGCAGTAAGTTGGATTACACAAAGTAAATTATTAATCTGTTTGAATGTACGGGAATTACATTCCACAACGCTGCCCAAATTTCAATGTTAGACTGATAATGGTATTGTTTAATTCAGAAAATACTGAATTCTAATACCTATTGTAAGACGATGTCCCTTACTTTTCGAAACGTTCAAGTGCATTTCAGTAGAGTTGAAAAGAAACCAAATGAGAAACAGAATGTCATACAACCATAAACTGGTACACTATAAAAATTTAATTAAGGACGTAGAATTTTTAAAATAAGTAAGCCAATGAAAGCAAATCACTGCTTTACCAGAAATCACGTGTAACTTTCGCATGAATATGGGTGAAATCTAAAACAACTCTGCACCGTTACTTAATTTTTCATTCTTCGAGTTTGTAATGGAATATATGACTTTAATCTTTAGTCGCTGAAGTTTCGGTAGCGCTGTTGTTGTTCCCTAAAGGGGGGAAGTTATTAGCTTTACACTCGAACTTCTCTCTCTTATCTGGCTTGCTATCGGCCATGTTAAATTTATGAATGCATCGCCAGATGATTGAACTCAGACGATGTACATGGTTGGTGAGCGTTCCAGCACCCTTACCACTACCTCAGTTATAACATTTCCTGATTATGGGGGATTGAATCATGTAATAGACAGTGGGGATCGACAGCCGACGAATAAGTTGGGCAGATAAGAAGAGTGTGGTAGATTTGGAATTCGCCGATGATTTATGTCAAATGTCACACAAACTCGTAGATCTACAGGCGGAAAACAACAAGTTAGGACTTCATGTGAATATGGATAAGAAAGAGGTAATGAAGATACCTAACCAGCAGCAGCAGCAACAACAACAGCGAGCATCAAACACCCACAACAGGGAAGATCCGAAGGAATTTTACCTGGGCAGAATTGTTTCAACTACAAGCGACATAGATGATGTCAAAGTTAGGATCGCAAAATAGAAGACAGACCTTCATCACTTTGAATTACTTATGGAAATCTACTTCACTCGGCATGGAAAACAAGATTTGGACTTTCAACATTCATGTCAAGTCAGTTAGTGCCTCTTCATATGGTTCAGTGGCCTGGTGCGTCATGGAAGCCATTGTTAAACAGACTGCAGACTTTATCAACAGCTGATTTCGTAACATAATGAAGACTATATGGCAAGGCGGAGATGATTAGCAGCAAGGAACTGTGGCAGTGCAACGAACTAACAAAGGACCTATCAATCAGAAAAATATACAAAAGAAAGTAAAATGAATTGAACAGCAGCTGAGGAGACCGTTTAGTAGCATCGTATGCCTGGCCCTCTAGTATAACCTGAATGGAAAAGACGACGAATTGGGTATTTGTCCAAGTGTAACAAAGAGGAAGGCATCACAGGAGGAGATCAGAGACTACGGATAATCATGCAGCAAGCTAAATATGACTTCAGAAAGCCGGATGACATGGGGATGTGCTGCTGAAACCCTATGTTCTACTTAGTACCTGAAGGAAAAAATACTACTACTAACAATAATGAAGGTAGATGATATAACTGACTCTATACCACTGCTTAATTTAAAGGACCGTTAAAATGTAATTCCATATTAGATAAGTTTATTTTAAACATCAAACTGTGATACAGCATTAATAATCGGATACAAGGTTTCGAGTGTCAATTATTGCCACTCATAATCATATCAATTTTAGTCATACGTTTTCACAACTTGTCTCTCTTTCCCTCCCTCCATCTTCCCTTCGATTTTTGTTGCCACTTTCCGTATTATTGATGTAAGTATAAAATTTGGGCACCCTGGTAGAGTATAACTCCATTATAGATAAGGCAGGCTTAGTTAAGTGTTTAACAAACCGAGCAGTAGCACTAAGTGGCACAAAAAAAGACCTAAATGATGAAATAAAACAGATAGAAGAGGCGTTGGTGTAAAGTAACTATCCTATAAAATTCATTAGAAAGATAGAAAAAGGCCAAAAGCAAAGTAAAAATAATAGTGAAACTAGTAATAATAACATAAATAAAAGAGAGTATAAGGCATCTACAGTTTTACCGTATAATGAGGGGACATCTGAGACCCTATGTAGGATTCTAAATAAAGCAGGAATTAGGGTGGCATTTAAACCTACAAACTCACTCAGAGACATGCTCTGTATGTTAAAAGACCCGGTTGACCCAAATAAACAAAATAATATAATTTACAAAATACCTTGCAATGACCGTGAGTTAAGTCAACTACATTGGTCAGACTAGTAGATCGAGGGTAATCAGATTGTCAGAACATAAGAATTTAGCTAAGATAAGAATGGTTGACCCCAAGAAGATAAGTGATTTAGAAAAACCCTCAGCGATTGCTCTGCATTAATTAACACACAACCACACAATGGGCTGGTGGAGGGTAAAAGTTCTAAGAAGTAATCTATGTAGGTGAAGAGAGAGATTGATTGCTGAATCCTATTTCATTGAGTCTATACCCAACATGTGCAACAGAAATGACTCAATGCAAATGCCAGAGATATCGAAGATATTATTACCACCAGTCAGTCAAATCAGAGGAGGATAATAAATAATCTCAAAATTCTATTTCAGTTCAAGCACATCACAACATTCTAACAAGTTACTTATTTTGACTATAGAAACACTCGTCTTATTTCCCATCTAATTGTATTTGATCAATAACACTCATATTATCTCTGAATGTCCATTATCCCATGTTGATTTTTATTCAAATATCTAGTCAATTCTACACATGTATACACATGAAGGGAAAAGTTGTGTGAGTAACTTGATATGATAATGAGCAGTAATAGTTTGTGCTCGAAAGGTCATCAGTTAATATTACTGTACAACAACAGTGTCTGATTTATCAAAATAATATCTTATCCACTTTCCATATCTTCGGTATACGCGTCACATCATTCCAACTGCACGTCATCCAGTTTTGAATACTGACTGCATCATCACTGTGTGATCATTAAAATAAACATATCTAATTACACAGTGCTAAAGTTCCCCGCCTACTTTAATCGTTAAAGTGTGTCACATAAAAAACAAGGAAACATGACGCTCATCTGAATGAAACATGGTGTTTAACTATTTCTATGCCTTTTAATTTCTTAAGTAACTGTAAAACATTTCCCCGCACTATATTTTTTTAATATGAAATTCATTTGGGTGAACTTTTAAGTAATCGTTTTGCAGATCTAGTCATTACCTACCACCCCACCAAAGGCAACCCTATTAGAGTCGACACCAAACGTGTTTACCGGAGCTTCTGATATTACCAAAAAAAATATAATCTGGTTGTATGTACCACGCAGTCTATTTCGATATACACCCACCGGTTCAAATATTACCTGCCGATGATAGTAAGTCTTCAGAACAAACAATACTAATCACAACAATCATTTTATCAAAAGAAAGTAAATAGAAGACATAGAGTGTTTTAAATAAATATTCTCTGACAATAAAACAAACAAACAAAACAAAAACAAAACTCAACTGTACTATTATTCCCTTCTGTGTTGTTCTCCGTCTTTCAACTGCTGTCCTCCTCAAACAGTAATCAACAGGAATTTTCTACAACAGTTTATTCTTTTTAAAAAAAAATTTTATATGTGTGCACTTTGATTCAATGCTTTTTTCTTTCCCTTTGTAAAATTTGATTTAAACTTTTCATGATTATTTGTTTTCGATTCCAATTCTTGATGACTTTTATGTCCTATTACACTACTGATTGTTGTTCTCATTCTGCGTAGATTAAACACATCATTCCCACCAAGAGGTTTCTGTTTACCACAGAATAAATGACGTAAATGTAAACGAAATGAAGGTAGAAATATAAAAAATGTGGGGAATTCCATAGCTGAATTCAATGATTTCATTGAACTAAACAACTTGGATAGATGCTTTAACTTTAAAGCATGTTGTGGATACAATGAATTGTAATCACTGTAATCCGAGTGTTGTCTTAACAGGACAACAATAATTAATGGAATATTTAGAATAAAAAACATTGTTGTCATAGCCAAGTGTCCAGCTATCCGACGCAGTTCATTCGGATTACGATCACCGTGTTGTTGACACATACGATAGCGTTCTTTAAATATTTTGTGTAGTTTAATAATAATCATAATTGTTGTGATTATGGCCACTAGTGTTGGGATAATTGTTGAGGCAATATTTGATAAGTATAAATTATATTGTACACTAAATTTCAACGGGTCAACAAATTGACAAACTGTATAATTTTTGCTATTTTTAACAAGATCTGAATTGATCAATGTTGGCAGGTATAAAATATTAGCGATAACATAAATACTGATAATACCAATGTGGACAGCTCTTAGGTGACGATCGCCTCGAAATCTTAACGGATGATAAACAGTCAGTATACGATCAAAGCTGAATAAGACTAGCACATTTGTAGATATCAGTGCAGATACTTCTGGAATGTAGAGAAAAAATTTACACGAGAATTTTGAATAAATATCCAACTTGACAATAATATTACATCGACTTAACCAGGCTAATCCTCTGCCAAGAAAATCATCTAGAAATGCATTGAATATTAATTCCATAATATGCGCTATAGTGATACCAATTACATAGGAATTAAATCGACATGCAGATTTCATTTGCATAATAGTAAATACTATAAGAACGAGAATATTTCCTGTTGTGCCGAAAATTACAATCAGTGGAGTTACATACGCTCGAAATCTGTACATCATAACACCTTCAGGTGTGAAATCAGTTTCAGCGTTGAAACATGTTAAATTGTAGGCCATAATTTCGTTCTTCAGTGTGTGTGAGTGTGTGTGTGTGTGGGATATTACTGCTATCACTCTATTCTTCGTAATCTTCGTATCATGCGTTAAGCTGTGAAGTGCTCAGTTGTGATCAGTCAGAGAGTCAGTCAGCCAACCAGCCATTTTCATTATTACACATATATGCAATTAATTACGTAAACCACACCTTCCCTGGTACATAGTATGCTTCCGACAACAATTAACCTGAATGAAGGATTTAAACGATGCAGAATGCGTTTTTATATACTACTGAATGTGGCAAATTTCAATTTTGATTGGTTGAGTGAATTTCACTAAAATTCTACCGTCTTTTAACCGGTCTTTAGATTTAAACGAATATGATTTGTAGATATAAAAAAGTGGTAGGTTTGCAAGTAGAAAAGAATTGTGTTTCTAAGGAAATTCACATGTGAATAATATTAAAATTTAATAAAGTTGTTTTGTTCATAGACATTATTATTATTACTAATATGTTGAATAATAAAACTTTTTTATTTCCTTATAATTTGTTGGCTTTTTCAACTTAAAGTTTGTTTTCCCATTGTAGCTGTGTATACCGTGCTAGTTAAAGTGGTCAAAACAGACTAGCCTACTTTTGCCTAATTCACCGACTGCCTAATTGAATAAAATCAATAAATGATACATTCCCCGAAAGTTGGAGATATTCAAATTTTATGATGTAACACCTGGAACACGTGAATTAAGTAGACTTTAATCTTTAGGAATTTGTCTGTAAACTACCCGTAATTAGCTTGCATGCTTCAATTCTTTGTTTTTTTCTTGCAAGAGATTGTTTGCAGGGACTTGATTTGTTTCAAGTTGGACCTTGAGGTTAATATCTGTTGGAGAACTAATGAAAAGGAACAGAGAGTGCTGAACAACTGTTTCTTGCTATTTTCGAACTCATCGGTAGTACGCATCCTCCGGGTTTCAAACCCAGGATCTTTCGGTTAGTGTCCATTGGTAGCAGTGTGCTTTAGAAGTAAATACTGTCTCTTGGCTTTAATCCAGTTACCTTGCTGCTTCACAAGAAGAATTTCCAGGAGGCTGCTACGGGTCTTCACCAACACTTGCTCCCCCCCTCTATACCTCATAATTAAGAATAGATAGCCGGTTAGAAAGTATTAGGGACAAGGAACTTTAGCAGCAAGCCAACTAACACCTTATTGTCCTAAAGGTATACAGTAGGAAATGGAGATGTACTGAACACACATTGAGGAGACCGCTGAGTAATATCACGTGCCAGATCATCAGGTGGGTGGTGAGTAAGAAATAATGAGTTTGAGGCTGCTTCTACAGTGACATGGAAGCGATCATGTGATGAAGAGATGAAAAGGCATGGAAACTTATGAAGCCAGGTAAGAATGACTCCGTAGAAGAGGGTGAAGATGAAGGTGAGCTGTTGAGGCCTTTCCTTCTACTTTTAACCCAAGAGAAAAACAATAGGAGAAAGATAAAAAACAAATTCAGCGAAGAAATTTTTTCTTCATCGACGAAATCATCTTCACAGGCTGTACAGTCGTATTTATTCTTAGCAAAAATGTAAAGTGGTCTATTATTGAGTAATAGGAGGTGACATAATTGCTACAATTACTCAAAAGTGGCTTTAGAAGTGAAAATTAAAGGTTGTGAATTACGTGGTACTCAACGGAAGAAAGATAGAAATTTGATAAGGTTAAAATTGCTATTTAGTGAGAATAAAGGTAGTCAAATGTCAATTTAACAAGTGTGAAGAGGGTGTGAAAATGTACAAAAGGAACATATGAGAGTGATAATAGTGAATTAATTGTTAAAGCAAAGGCAAACTAAAAGTAAAAAAAAAATTAAAAAGGGAAATTAAAATATCTAAATTTTTTAACAGGAAACGACTAGTGAAGAGTTTAAGACCATGGTAGAATAAGAGACTGGACAAACTTTCCTGTATACAGAGTTCAGGGTTAGAGTCAGGGTTGACGAGTTTCCATCGCCTACGCCATACGCAAAAGCCAAAATCTGACGCCCTTTGTACCATTTGGCCTCACCTTGTAGGTGATCTTGAAAGACTACTCTGATGGAGCTGCGTGGCCTGAGTTCACCAAGTGCTCGATAATTGAACTAGTAATTGTCTTGCATTGTCCTTTTGCTAACCATGCCGGATAATATTCAGAGATGCGTTTGGAAAGTGTGCGCTTTTTGCGGCCGATGTAATTAGCTCTACTAGTTACAACTTTTATTTTTTTTACTTCTAAAGCCACTTCCGAGTAATTATAGCAATTATGTCACCCCCTATTTCTCCAAAACAGACCACTATACACTTCTGGTAAGTATAAATACGACTGTACGGCCTGTGAAGATGATTTCGTCGATAAAGAAAAATTTCTTCGCTGAATATTAGGTGATTTGAGAGTTGACTTTTGGACTTGACGAGATACAATTTCTTAACATGTAACTGTTACAGATATTCAGTTAAATTAAAAATTGTCAGTGTGGCACATGCTTTTATCAGATATCGAATACCATGATCAGTATAACTGTATAAAGTCGAAACAGAAGACACTCTTCTTAAATATAAAGGATTACGTTCACACGCTTAAAGTATTGCCCCGTATTCTCATACACTGCATTTATGATGAATTAGGCTGTTGTATAAATTATTACTTATTATTATTGCTTCCTTGGGTTCCAAGTGGACTGCAGATTCTCTTATCCCCCTCTTGTATGACCTCCACCATGTCACCCTCGGTTCTCACCAGATTATTTCCAATCCATTTATGTTGCTTTTAGCATATATGTTGAGCAATAGGTTCTTGATTAGTTCTTCCCCAGAGTTCCTTGTTGATAATTATTCTTGTTCCGTTCGTCATCAGCATAAAATGGGGACAGTGGTTGATAAAAGTCCCCCGGCTGGCTGGTAAAAATGCTTTCCGTGAGGCCAGTGTCAAGTTTCTGATGCATTTAGAATAAGTGACTCTGGCATTAAAAATCCAAATTTCGTTGTTTATATTGAGTGTATAAGATTTCCTAACTGATTTCACAATGGTGAAGGTAATTATCGTATTGCTACCATCTGTCTATATTTGAAGCGATGCTTCCTAGATAACTGAAGGAATTGACATGTCTCAAATTCGTATTACTGATAGTGTTTGTTGCCGCTTGTTGTTGCTGTTGTTTGGTTATCTCCATCAACTCCGTCTTCTGCAAGTTCACTTAAAATCCTGTCTTTGTCAGCTGCTTCTTCTGTCAGTTTTTTGGTCTTTGTTTTCAAGTCTTCGCATTTGTGTCGGTGGCACAGTGGTTAGGACTCTCATGCACATGTTCCGGGGTTCGATCCCCTGCCGACGCACACCCAATATCTATGATCGGCCTGCAAAATTTGGGCTACCGATATCCATGCTGAAAATTCCATACTTGTACTTAAAATACGGTGTGGCATCAAGCTGTAATCAAAATAAATAAATAAAAAATTAAGAGTTAATCATCCACGCATGAAATACAGATTCTCCAGGGTCTTTTTATCGGTCCAGTGTATTCCTGTCCTCTAGCTTCTCACGTAAGGTGTTCCATATAATCCAGTCCACCACAATTAAAAATATCATTGTCTTACTGCTGTATTCATTTCTAAGACTTTGGTGAGCTTTCATTTGTGGATCATCTAACACGCGACATTGTCATATGGCTTTTAACTGAGGTTAAAATGATTTTGGGTAGTACACTACATAATGTTGAAGTATTTTCCAAATTACTCTACCATGAACTCTTCATCTTTCTATTTTATTCCCGTAAATACAGTAGAAAAACATGGAGATTATTTTTTCTTTCAATAAGTTCCCAGTGGAACATAGGGATTCAAGCCACAACAGTGAAGTTTCGGTTACAGTGGTGTTAAGTTTTACGGGATGGAGTCGCTGGCCTCATGTCCAACTTTCCCTCTTTACCAGTTCTATTACTGGTTTAGTGAGGTGAAGGAATGCGTCGGCCAAGGATTGAACCCATAACCCTAGGTCTGGTTGGCAAGCATCCTACCGCTGTGCCACCAACACGAACGTAGAAATAATGTTAAAAATTATTTTTCCACGATAAAACATTGTAAACATTGTTTTCTTTGTTAGGCAGCCAAAATGTAATGAGCAGAACAATAAACTAGTGCATATTTTATAAGATCACTGATGCCTACATAATCAGAGGAACTGACAGCGAACGGAATTGTTTCATAAAAGAAGAAACTTTCGGCTAAGAGTTTCTCTCTACAGCTATACTGTTAGCTGTATAACAGCATACATGTAGTACCTTTTCATAGCTATAAAATGAGCATTTCCAATGATTGTCAATGAAAGTGTAAGTTTTAGTTAAAAGCTGCGTACTGAGAAAGTGTAATCGGATAGAAAATAAAATAAGATTATTTAAGTGAATTCAATGATGTAAGAAAACTGACAGGACTGTCGGATTTATGGAAACCCTCTTAAAGATCTGAACTTGACGGATGATTTATGTCCAATGTTACATAAAGTTGAAGGTCTACAGACAAAAACTGACAAGCTTTCAAAAGAATCAGAGAGGGTAGTGGTCATAAAGATACCTAATGAACACCAATAAGAATCAGTCACCATCAGCGGTATAAATCCAAAGGAACTTATATCTTTCATTTAGGTGGGTGATGCAAAGGCACGATCTCTAAAGCAAGGAAGGCAGTCATTACTTTGAAATCAGTGTAGAAATCTGATACACTCAGCGTAAGGAACAAGATATGGAGTGTGTGATACAGTAATGTCAAAGCAGTGATTCTGTTTCGTTCATTGCACTTCCGAAAACATTTCTAACAGACAACACAAATCTCATATCAAGGTCTGCAGAAGATCAGATGACTGGCCAGGAAGAATGAGTAACATTGGATTTAGGTAACAAACCTATAGGTCGACATATATGCAGAAGAAAATGGAGATGGATTGTAAATATGCTATGGAGACTGTAGAGTAAGTAAGATCAATGGAATTATAATTCATTAAAGATGCTTTAATTTTAATAAAGGTAGAATAGCAAATAGAATATCAACTAAAATTTAGGAAATTTCTACAAAATCTTGAGGATCATTTGAACCTTGATGACCAAGGTGAGGACAGAGTGTAAACTAGCTTCTTTTTGACACATAAATTAGGCTTCTTAATGTGGATCCCGATGTCTTCACCAATATTTAGTAAACGAACTCTTAAGACGAATTTAGGATTTGTT